GCAAAATATAGATTGTATATAAAGAGGAAATATGTTGGATAGCCATGTTCCCAGTATGCAGTGGGGTTGCCTGAGTGTCTTCAAGCATTTGTGGTTGTCCTACAGCAAGGAGAACTTCCAGTCAAAGGACAGGGCCCTGGGGAAATTCAAATAATGCAATTTCAAAGGGTTAGGACTTTCCTGGTGGCGCAGTGGTTAAGAATCCGCCTGCCAATGCAGGGGACACGGGTTCAAGCCCTGGTCCGGGAAGATCCCACATGCCGCGGAGCAGCTAAGACCGTGCGCCACAACTACTGAGTCTGTGCTCTAGAGCCCGCGAGCCACAACTACTGAGCCCGTGCACCACAGCTACTGAAGCCCGCACGCCTAGAGCCGGTGCTACGCAACAAGAGAAGCCCACGTACCTAAACGAAGAGCAGCCCCTGCTCACTGCAACTAAAGCCCACGTGCAGCAACGAAGACCCAATGCAGCCAAAAATTAAAACATAAATTAATTTTTTTAAATAAAATAAAATAAAAGCGTTCTTGGTCAGTACAGCTATCTGCTTTCAAAGGAAATCCCTTTTGAAGTACTCCTTTCAGAATTCCAATTAGAGATTTGAGACATATCGGCGCATAAATGGAAGAGCTTTAAATTGTAGAACAATATTGAGGTTACTAACATAATACTGTTTGAGCCATCAAATAAATGTTCCACAGTATTTAGTTCATAACACATTTCAAGTTATATCTGTGTTAGTGTGTGTTAATAGTCCTTTAAATTATTCTAATGAGACCTCCTTGTTGCCAAGCTAGATTCTCATTCCATTTAGCTTGTTACGCTACCGTTCATTTTTTCATGGGTTCCCTAAAATTGGTGGTAAGGGAGTCAGTTCTGTCCAGGGCAGCGGATAGTTTGTCTCTGTGACTCTGAATTCATGCATTTCTTCCACAAAGGTTTATGAGCACCTGTTGGGTTCCAGGACTAAACCCTGGAGACAAAACTCAACCAAGACACAGTTTACACCTTGCAAGAGTCTATGATCCAGTTAGAGGTGAGCAGGTGATTAGCATTCAGAGTGTAACTGGGCAGGAAAGCGGTTAAAGCAGGGGAGTGTGCTCAAGCCTGGCTTCTAGGAGTGTTGTGTTGAAGCTGAGACACAAGGAAAAGTCAGCAGGAGCCAGGAAGAGTAAGAGCAGGTGTCCCAGCTCAGGGGAAACAGCCTGAGAAAGACCTGGTGGCATTAGCATCCTATACGCACTGGCCACCACTGGGTAGGTTACCTTGACCTTGTGGCCTGAGTCTCCAGGATCCCAGGCCCCTCTTCATTCTTAGCTCAGGTAACCTTAGGAACCAGGTTCCTTAGCTCGGGTGACTGAGGCGTACTTGTGCAGTACACCTTTGTGTTCTCAGATTTCAGTTTCAACTGGGAAATCTTCGAGAGGCAAACTCATGCCCCACCACCACAAAAATAGTTAATAATGTACTTTTTATGTTACTGAGGATAGATTCAAATAAAATGATATGAAGTGATGAAATATACAGCCAATGAAAACATAATTCAAAAGAAACTTATTTTAATACCTGGGTTCAACTACTTTAATCTGGGATTTATGAAATCATGTGGGGCTTGAAAGGGTGACTTGAATTTTTTACTTGTGTTGTACTGAATTTTACTAGAATAAGCTTCACAGGGGCAAGAACCTTGGTCTGTTTTGCTTCATGGATGTTTCCCAAGTGCCCAGAATACCACTTGGCACACAGTAGGAATTCAATAAATATTTATTGAAAGATACAAGGACTTTTATGGAGAAATTACATTCTGGGTAAGTTTCCTACATCCTTGATTATCAAGGGTCCATGGTGCTGTAAAGGAGGAGGAGGTAGGGTTCCCTTGGAGTGGGCAGCAATGTTCTAACATTGCAAATAAACCAAAAATGACATTGGTAAAAGGAGGGGCCTATGGTTGTCTCATCAAGGATTTGGGTAGAGCTCTCTTTTTTGGTAAATTGTTGTCTATATGTGGCAGATGGACATGAGTCTTAGTCTATAATCTCAGGTATCCTGTAAATCCATTTACTTTCTATTCACAGTCCTTTCTTGTAGGTTTAGGGGGAATTAGCCCTCATTCATTACTGCGGACACACACACAGCTGTACCAATGTCCCTGGACCTTCCAAGGGTCAGACTGGCTGCCACTGAGAAGCCCATTATTCCAAGGCTTGGTCCTTCCCAGCCCGTTGATTCTGCTGCTCTGAAACCATGGTTGCGTCACGAGAGCCACTGTACCAAGGGCCCCAGTATCTCTGGACACCCCATATAGCCATCCTTGCCGAGGTCCTGATAACCTCAAGAAATGCATGGAGCCAGCTAATCACGGGACTGCCATCCTTTTTCTCTTTCCAGTCTCCAGGATGCCCTTAAGCACTTCTAGCCTCTGGCCTAGTCTCCCTTCTGGGCCCAATGCATCCTCACTTCAAGGAGATCAGCTACCTCTGCCTTTTGCCCTGCAAAAAATGCCCAAGGCAAAAAAAAAAAAAAAAAAAACCACAGCCTGGCTACAGGCATGCAACTAGAATTGAGAATTGGGACAGAGAAAACATAGGAAGAACAAACAAATTATCGCAATGAATTCTTCTGCTCATGCAGTACTGTGCAGCCATTTCAATTACTCCTCATTTGCAAGCCAATTAAGAAAACACCCCTAAGAGAAGCCTAAGGACTGGGAATCAAATGCAAGACTGGCAACATTCACACTCTGTGAAATGTAAATAGAAAAAGCAAGGAAACTTGCTCTGAGCTCACTTTGGCTGAAAGGCAGGGAAGCTCTGTTCTTGCCAACACACACTTGAATCCGAAGTGAACTCCCCTGGCTTCTGGGCAAATCTTTCTGGTGTGTGAACCCTTCAACCTTCTGTCATTCCGAGGCTCTCTTCCACTCACACCTCAAACCCCTGGGAAGCTTCTCAGAAACTTCAAAAGTCACTCACTCAGACGCTGCTTTGGTGGTTGGAATATAAATGCTCAAGAGTCTTGACATCTTCTATGGGTAATCTTTAAAGAAAACTTCAAAGAAACAGCTCTCCTGCTTTGAAAAGTAAGTAATAAATGAAAGTAATAAATGAAAATAATTGCTCCTTTCTCTATGTCTCTGATCTCATCCAGAGGGATGGGTTTATTAAACAGGCCTGAGAGATTGCCAGGGAATATAGCCACAGGCCTTGGTGAGAGCTTGTGTGGTCACCGGGATCACCTAACCTCTTCCAAAAGGCTTACGTAACAATATGTGGACGCCGTCACTTGGAAATCAGGCTTGATTTTTGGGTGGGGGTAGGTAGATTATCATTATCCTTTTACAAGTACCAAATCAGGTTTTATAATGAAGGGGAAAAAAGCATTTTTTTTTTTTTGCTTTTGTTTTTGTTTTTTGTTTTTTGCGGTATGCAGGCCTCTCACCGCTGTGGCCTCTCCCGTCGCGGAGCACAGGCTCCGGACGCGCAGGCTCAGCGGCCATGGCTCACGGGCCCAGCCGCTCCGCGGCACATGGGATCTTCCCGGACCGGGGCACGAACTCGTGTCCCCGGCATTGGTAGGCGGACTCTCAACCACTGCGCCACCAGGGAACCCCGGAAAAAAGCATTTTTTATAAAATTAAAGTCTGAAGCACTGTTATCCTTCTGGTATGGCATCTTCCCTCTTTTACAGACCATCTTTCTCGTGCATAGAATACAGGATAATGATGGAGTTAAAAGGAAAAGCGTAGAAGCTAGCTAGTGCCCACCCTTCCATTTAAAGATAAAGAAATACTGTGGAAGGGTTTTAATTTTGTCCTATACCCACGCGTCGAATAAAAATGAAGCAAATGTTCTGAGTCTACCCTTCAGCTTCATTATCAGTAAAATGGAAGCAGTTACCTACCTGTATGGTCAGGCCGCCCCAGACGGTTCTTCTCTTGCTCTTTGTACATTCTCTGCTCAACTCAACCAGTCCCTGCTTCACCTACACCCTCCTCACAGGAATGCGCTCGCCTCATGACCCTTAGGCCAGAAGGGCTCCACCTGCTTGATTATTAAAGGGAAACAAATGCCCTCGTGATAGTCTTAACCTGAGGGGCTGTGAGGGACTTGCCTCGGCTCTGGTTTCCTTGGTAACTGATGAGCCAACCTGACATCAATTCCCCCTATAAATGGGGGAATTCCTCCTTCTCCCCAAGGTAGCAGAGTGCTGCCATGTCCTGCCTGCCATCTATGGCTGGGGTGTCCCTCGAGGACCTTTTGCTTCAGATGTGTAAGATCCCCTATCCAGTGAACAATTGATGTCTCCGTCGCTGTCTCTGGGCTCTTTCTTTGGTCTTGAGGCCGGGCATCCACAAGGCTTGCAGGCCTGCAGGGTGCAGCCCAACACTACCTCATAGAGTTTTTGAGAGGATTAAATGAAATTATACCTGGAAAAAACAGAGCCCAGTTACTGGCACACAGTAAGTGCTAAATAAATATTAGCTACCAAGGAGATAACTGTAGCTCTGACCCAGTACAGTGGCTCTAAATCCCAAATGAACATCAGAATTATGAGATTTTTTTTTTGAAAAATACTCAAGCCCAGGCCCAGCTGCAGACATTCTAAGTCAATCCGTCTGGGGTGGGGCCCAGTTCAGGCACAGTTGAAGATGATTAACCAGGTGATCGGATGTGCAGCCAAGGCTGAAACCCACTGGGGTAGGAGGTCCAAGGATAAGGCCAGAGACTGTGAATCCTTATCAGTGGCTAAATACCAGGCAGATGGTAAACACAAATGAAGAGGGAGAGAAGAAAACTCAAAATACTATGGAAGGTTTTAAAAGTAGCTTTTTGGAAAATGATCTCTATTGTCAAGAGCATGTGTGTGATTGCTACAAATGATAAATAAAAATGACCAACCTAACTGAGATGAAGCAAGTCTCTTAAAAACAAAGAGTTCTCACCTATCCGAATGGCTAGGGAGACCTACTGCCGTGGCTGAAAGACAGGAAGACACACCCAGATTAACAAGGGGGCAGTCATTTAATGCAGAAATCCAGTTAACGTAAAGAGACAGGTCGAACGACAGATATGACTTCTAACAATACTGCATAGCATTACAGGTTAGCTCTTCCATGGTTGATCTGTTTCTCTTATGATTTTGATTCCAGTACAAAGATGGAGAAGAGACTTCAATTAAAAATAAATAAGGCAACAGAAGAATCTCCCTGTGACAAAAAACATCCATAAATTATGCACAAATGTTTGGTGCTGACACAACAAGACACCATTAGGACAAGTTCTGAAGGTGCTGCATTAAATTTAACAAGCATGGTACAATGACAAGAAAATTATACTCGCTTTGTCATGAATCCTTTTGCAAATAGAAATGACTCTCGGGTAATTGTTATGTACAAACTTTCTGAAATAAATGGCAATCATACAAATTTTTCCATTGCGGTTTCCTCTTTTTCTGAACCCAGAAATGTTCCACGGCTCTGCTCCCTACTCCTCGCCGTCAAAGCATAAATAGTCATTAAAGCACTTGAACCCACAGTAGTCTTGTCCTTAGAAAGGTATGGAGGTTCTGCATGATTTGACATCAGTCATCCAGAAGGGGCTGGCAGGCAACAGGCTGGAATGTACAAGACCGATTTTGTGCTTGGGATCCTGACTCAAACTCTGTCTCCGTCCCCTTCAAGGTTCGTCCGCACTGTGGACGGGCCACCAAGCAGTGGACTTGAGTATGGACAGTCATACCGTGGAGTCCCTGCTAGACTTTAGATGTGCAATCTTGGTCCGGCTAATAAATGGGTAAGCGATGCAGAGACCTCCAGCTGCCACAATAAAGCCTAAACTGCACCAGGCACAAAAGATAGACCAGCTGTAGCCGTGTTCCACATCATCAGGCAGGCTATAAATTAGCTTCGGGACCCGGTTCAAATCATAGGAGATGCTGGCGGCGTAAGTGCAGAGGGAAATGGTGCAAAATATTCCTATAAATAATACAAAGAGAGCAGGGTGATGGGTTACAGTTTTGCCTGCTACAAGGCAAATGCCAGACAGGCCTTCGTGAACATCAGATCAACAGATGAGATGATGAATCCAAATTAATAAAGGATTGACAATTCTTTCACTTGAGTTACTTCATTCAACAAACATTGGCAAAACCTTTATGTGCCAGACTGTATGCTAGGTTCTGGAGATATAGGAGTGAAAAAGATGGGAAAATTCTGATAACTTGAATTATTCAGAATTATCTCAATTAAATTGGTATGTATATATGAATTTTTTTTATTCTTAAAAACAACATAGTAGAAATTTTAATTATTTTTAAGGAAAAAAATAATCACTCAAACCTAATACAAACAATTTTCATTTCCCTTTGTTCTATACCTGAGTTGACACAGTTTTAGAGAGTTGCAATCATCATACCAAGTCTTTCTTTTTCAATTACCATTATCATTAGTATTTATCATGTTGCCTGATAATATCTTAAATGAATGTTTACAAGTTTTTTTTTAAGGCACAGAGCCTGGCACATTCTAGGGCCTCAAAAATCATTTTTTTTATAATGAATGGATAAAAAGATTTTAAATAATATAAATTAAATCCAGGATGTTGGAATTGTTGTAAAATAGCTGACATCATATATAGGGGATCTATAATTCAACCACTCAGAATGCAGGTAATTTAGGTAGCCTAAGGAAAATGAACAGACCCAAAATTTTACTTTTTTGTACCAACATGTTATATATAATTGTCCTTTCAGAACACTAAGATCAGCATTCTGATAAAAATGCTTCAAAAGCCCAAAACACAGGATTTTTACTACTCAAGGATGTAGATGCTTCTATTTCATCACAGTGGACCTCCAAGGCTGCTCCTTTTGCGGGGGCATGGGATCACAATGAGGCAGTTGCTGAGCTGAAGGTGGGTAATAAATACAAAAACTGGCACCCAGTCAAGTATCAGAATGTTCCATTCGGTTCTGAGTTCTACACATGTCTTTTTCATACTTTGGTTCATCCCTGTGTACAATGGAGGTTACAACCATTTGCTGAAAAATTGCTTTGGTAGCCTTAGGGACCTATGCAGCATCTCCATAGGAAACAGAGACACAGAATTGGGAACTGAAAGGAGAGGGCTAAAAGTAACAGATCTCCACACCCCTTTTTAATAGAGCTTTGGGGATCAGAAACACTAGCTGAAAAACAAACTCAGAGCAGGAAGCAACTGGGAGGAAATAAAGATCAGCTTAATGCCATTTTTTTTTCCTTAACGTCATTTTTAAGTGCTAGAATTCTGCCTGCACTCAAATCACATAAGAACACATTGCCTGAATCCTTTTCCAAGTGTGCATTTAGAAATGTTTTAAATTAAAAGGACACTTGATCTGAGGTGATTTGATCTCTCCTACTCTTTGACTAACTCTACTTTTGACTCTAAAGTGATTCTGTTTTTCTAAAAAGGATAAAATCTTGTTTTCTTGCTCCAAATTGTTATGGTAAACACATCATTTTTTGAGTTCTCCAAAGGACGATCATGATGGAAATAATTCTTTCATAAAGGAATGGCACAGTCAAAACCAGAATACTCTGCTTTTTTCAAACCTTGTGAACAGCAAATGTTCTTACATCTACATGAATACTTCCACTGGCCAAACCAAAGACGGTGTTTATATATAACAAGGTCCTTCTAATGAATGCTGGTAATAAGGCAGTTAGAAAAATCTGATCTCTGGAGTATCAAGAGGTAAAATAGAATAACAGAACAATAACCTGTTCACAGGAAGAACAACTCTTCTGCATTTAACTGTCTGCACACAGCTGAATACCTAAAAGTGAAGCTGTTTACAAGTAACATAGTTTTAATGACCTCTGAAAGCTTGAATTCAAACTAGGACTCTTAAGCATACTTTCGTGTCCAAATGCATTGGGCTGGGATGCAGGGAATATGTATTCTGGTCCCCAGCTCTACATCTAATCACTGTGTGACCTTGAAATTACCTAATCTCTCTGAGCTTCATCTAGGGGAAAAAAAATGGGGGATTTGGTTCCTCAAGTCCCTTGCAGTGGCAAATTTCTGTGACTCTGTTATTCCATAATATGGCATTGAGCGAGGACATTTCCCAAAATTTCCTAGTAAATCTAGTACTTGGTATTACTCAGCTAAATAAAAACTTGAATGTCATGGATTTTTCTTTCTGCACATACTCTTTGATTTTATACTAAACATTGATTTTATTAGCACCTCTCCCCTGCCAACTCCATAAAATTGCTTTTGGTGAAATGAATTTTAGCATAACAACACCAGTTCATACTGAATAGAAAAAGATAAGAAAAACCTAACCTAAGGATTTAACCTCAGGATGACTCAGGATTACCCTGAGTGTCATGAGTAGTTGTGCTTTCCCAGGGCACTTAGTTTGTGCTTACCTCATGGACACTGTGAATGATGTCACTAATAGAATGTGTTTTTTTGACCGAGTTGCCAGAGAGCTGAAACTCCCCTAAAGCTAAATTAGTGGCCCCCCAGGGGCAAAAACTGGGGACTTCATGGCATGCTTTTTGGCTACTAATCTCACCCTTGGATTCATCTTGCCCTACAAACCCGACTGCTCCTTTGTCTTACTTGTATCCCTTATTTGTATTTATTTTATCTTGAAATATTGTATACATCTCTGTGCCACTTAAGTTCTTTTAGGATTAGGGCATCGCCAAACCTTGATGAAAACCTGCTTTATTTCCTTCTGCCTTTACTCACTCAGCTGAGATGGAGGGGTGGAGGAGGTTACGTGAGCCCATAAATATGCCTGATGTCTGCCCCTCCCCTTCCCACAAATGTCCCCAGAGACTGCTCTCCAAGGACATTTTTTTCTCCCTCCAAGATGCTCTGGAAGTAATTCTGAGTGAGAGAAAAGCAAAGATGAACCAAAGAGCATATCTAAGAATATCCCCTTTCTGGACCCTCACATATCTAAGGAAGTTTGCAAATACACAGCTGCCATAGCTGTTATCTGTGGGATGGGCAGGACTGTTCGATTATTACAGAGAAATGTAGGGAGAGGAGACAAAGCAGTGTTTCCAATGTAGGCAACTAGCTTTTGTAAAAGAGGCCTAACCCATTCAAGATATCTTAATAAGGGGAAAGAAAAACCCTTCTAACTTTGAAGACACTAAGGAAAAGTGTTTAAAGGATGAAGACATCTTTGTTGTAGCTAGATTAGTAGTCATAGGTCAGTTTTGATCCTGCGGAATTCTATTTTAGTTCCATATGCATGTCTTACAGTCCTCATGTGTATTAGTTTGCTCGGGCTGCCTTAACAAAGTAGCAGCAGACTGGATGGCTGAAACAACAGAAATTTACTCTATCACAATTCTGGAGGCTAAAACTCTGAGATCAAGGTCCCAGCAGGGCTGGTCTCTTCCAAGGCCTCCCTCTTTAGCTTAAAGACGCTGGTCTTCTCCCTGTGCCTTCACAGTCTTCCCTCTGTAACTATCTGTGCCCAAGTTTCCTCCTCTTTATAAGGACACCAATCATACTGGATTATGGCCCCACCCTAATGACCTTATTTAGTTAGTTTAATCACCTCTTTAAAGACCCTGTCTCCAAATACAGTCACATTCTGAGGTTCTAGGGGCTAGAACTTCAACATATGAATGGCAGGGCTGTGGGGCGGGCAGACAATTCAGCCGATAACATTGTGTGTGTGTGTGTGTGTGTGTGTGTGTGTGTGTGTGTGTGTGTGTGTGAGAGAGAGAGAGAGAGAGAGAGAGAGAGAGTTTATGTGTATGGTCAATGTATGAAGTATATTTCCATCCCTTTTACAGGCCTAAGAAAGATTTTACTATGTTAAGTGTTATTTAATCAGTTATTCAAGAATTATTTATAAGCATCTACTATGTTCCAGAGCCAGTTCTGATTATGTTAGAGGTAGTTAAGTTGAAAGAGTTCTTGACGGTCACAGCCATCATTGCTTTGACGCTGATGTGATCAGGAACCCCAAGTGTTCTTTCCACTCACTTTCCAGCATGCCTATCAGGGAAAAGGACTTCCTGTAAGTTCCACATGGAGCCTAACAGCACTGAGGACATGGAGTGTGCAAAACCTGCTTAAGAAAACTGAGTTCCATAATACAGTGAGTTCTACACACCTAAGAACCAGTGCATCCTAAATCACCTCCTGTAGGGTTTACCTAGATGGCAAGTTATTTCAGATAATGTTGCTTTCTTGCCAGTAGCAATCTAGTTAATGCAAGATATGGGATGAGGGCACGGAAAGATAAGGTACCAGCCTTGCATTTCAGAAGTTCAAAATCTAATGGTCATTCCTGAAGAGCCACGAGGAGAGAGGTCACCTCCCTTCTTCTCTTAGACACTTCCTTCCCTTTCCCTTCTCCCCTGACCAGCCAGGAGTTCCCTTGGGCTACCACCACTGATACTCTTCAGCCCAGCTGGTGGCGCCAGGGGAGAGGGATTTATGTCCCAAACTCAGTCCTGGCTACCGCTGGTAGCATCTTCAAAAGGGTGAGTAACTACTTGTTCTGAAGAGCGCTGTATGCAGCGACTTTTCTTATAAAATATTAAAAGGTGTTCCGCCAAAGTTCTTCATTAGAAGATACAGTGATATCACAGAATTACAGGACCGGAAAGGATATTTTTGGATCAGAAGAGAAATAAATTTATGCTGCCATCGCAGATCATCAACCTAATTTCCTTCCCTAAACTTCATGGTGCCTATGGCCAGCTGGTATGGTGTAGTTAGGGTAACGGCCCACTCTTTTGGCCATCCTCTTTTGATGTGCTTGAAAGGCGGAAAGGAGTGGAAGTTGCTTCACCCTGGTTAGCCTGCTTGATAAATAACATAGCTGCAACACCCAAAGACATAAATATTGATTTTTTTTTTCACTCCTTCAAAAGACGGCCTGTCCATCATTCTGGCCTCTTTGCAATTCCAGAAAAAAACCACCTCAAGCTAATTTTCACACAGATTG